TAATATGTATTTTGCATTACAAGTGCTTACCTTTTGAATTTAGCATTTGTTACTTTAGAATTTTATTTTGGCTTAACATAGCCATGATCATCCCATATTTAATAATTTGCTCTTCTTGCACATTTACAACCTGCTGACCTGCATTCATTAAATCAAGATTTAACATTTTTTTAAAAAACAAATATAGACAAGAAAATATATAAAATAAAACATGTAACATATTCATCAAAAACATTTGTATAACAATACTAATGAAGTAAGCATAATTTAGTAATGTACGATGGATGAGTGATCTTGTGCAACATTACTTTTATTGCCTGAAGTGTACTCCATCTAGCACATATGAATTGATGTGCTCTGAGAAGTCGAATTGACAAGAAATAAGTAAAATAGGAGGTAATAGGTGTGAATATTCACAAATGTCGCAAAAAAAAAAAGAATCAAACAAATGACATAATTTCAATGTCTGTTAGGTGTGAGACCCGTAATAGCAACATATTTTGTTTAATAATATGATTCATTATTTTAAGTAATCACATATTTGAAAAAAAATTATTCATTTACAAAAATAGAAATTTTGTTAGTAATTTTATAATTTTTTGCATAATCATTTGTAGGTTTCTTTGTTACAATTTATATTACTGCTTTCATGTACAAGTCTAATGATATTCCACGGAGGCATACAACCTTAAAGGTAATAATATGATTTTCCCCTTCCATCATCTTATTTTGGTGTTTAAAGTTTAAATCTTCTATCCTAATAAAGGAGTACTCAATTACCACGTGGAAATTGCTAAGCCACGACAGCTAAATCGGATACACTACACCTTCTATGGATTTCATATATTCTCCGAATGCATTTATAATGGATCACAAATTAATCTGCAACGAAGCTAATCATCTCCCTCCACTTCGTCTCTCATATCAGGTCTTTTTTCCCTAGTCTGAGTTACTGTCACTATCATCGACAATGTTAAGATTCATTGATGGCTTTTTTTTATTTTAGAGATAATATGACAGAAATTATTTATCAGGCGCATCATTTATGATTATATCTTCGTTTTTTTGTTGATTTTGATATGCCTTCTTCGGTTTAGCACCATCTTTTTTTTTTCAGGCTCCTTTTTTATGAAATAACATTTTTTTGTGAAATTCGTTTTACGGTTTTGAGTATGTGCAGGTACGTTGATTTTTTGAAGTAAAGAAAGTAGGGTTTTTGTTCGATGTTGGTTCCTTGGTTTGGTTCTTCTTTTCTCTGATTTCTCATAAGCCATTACTTTTTATTTTCCATCTTTATCTACAATCTTTATGTATAGAACACTTTATCCATATAGTCATTCACTACAGAGCTTAATGAAGGAAAAAAGAAACACCCCTTTAGTTTTATTTACTTTGCAGATTATCAAATCTCCATGCAAAGCTTACAACATAATGAAAAAAACGTACTACCCTTATGAGGTAAATGCCAATTACGATTCTACCCCTTTTACTCTTGTAACAATTATCTCACATGAAAACTTCAAAATATTTGTTTTTGTGTTTCAGCATATTATTGATAGCATGAAAGATCAAAGATTGCTGCATTTTGGTTAATCACAATGCCTCAAATTATGGGAGGATTTGAATATGATGACGAGGTCAAACAGAAAATATGGTGACAATACAAGGTTCTTCTTCTTCTTCTTCTTTATTTATTTATTTTTAATTCAACTTTATTACGAAATTTAAATAGCTTCTTTTGTTGATATTATTGTTTTTTATTTAGGAAAATATGCGATATGATCAACTTCGTGATGATGTAGCAATGAGAAAACCTGGATGGGCAAGAAGTGAGATAAATTTATAATTTATTAACTTCAATGAGAAATTACTTAATTATAGTTTTTGTTATTGAATTTGAAATACAACAAGGATTATATCAATTGAGCCAGAACGTGCAAGAAATGATCCAGTGGTAGAAAAGAACATTCCTTACTACAAAGCAAAAAGCAAATTAAAGACAGAAGTGATGAAGCTTAATCCACCACCATGTCCTAAAAAACGGTTGGGGGATACACTATAAACCAAAGTTTTTTCATTTATTTTTAGTAAATTACATATTTGGTCCCTGCGTTTAGTTGATTTTTTTTTGGTTTTGGTCCGTGAAAGAATCAGGTTGCAGTTTCTGGACCTTGTTTCACCGTTTCATAAAAGTTTTATGATTGCCTAAGTTAACATCATAGTTGTTAGTTTTTTTAAAATGACCATTTTGCCCTTGAACCAAAACTAAAAAAAGTATAACATAACGAAAAAATTTATATTTTTATGTTTTTTTTATGGTTTTTTTTTTATGTTTTTTTTACTTAAGGTTTAGAGTAGATTACATTTTTGGTCCTTTAGTATACCTGATTTTTTTCAGAAGGTTCTGAGGGGCGTTATTGGTATTTTAGGGTCAAATGCTGACTCTAGTGGAGTACACGCCTCTATTATACCACACATTCTTACCTGCCCATGTATGGTACCGATTCTTTTTGAACAAAGAATACGGGAGCCTCTTTTCATCTTTGACAACATGCTTATATTTAACTTTAAAGCTCACATCAGTTGTTGAGAAGGTATATTTATGATTCTGATTTTGTACTACCGGAGACATAAGAAAACTTTCTAATGAGGGTGATCATGTCTTTTGTAGTTGTAAATTAACATCATAGCTGTTAGTTTTTTTAAAATGACCATTTTGCCATTGAACTAAAACTAAAAAAAAGTATAACATAACGACAAAATTTATATTTTTCTGTATTTTTTTTTAATTTTTTTACTTAAGGCTTAGATTAGATTACATTTTTGGTCCTTTAGTATACCTGATTTTTTTCAGAAGGTTCTGAGGGGCGTTATTGGTATTTTAGGGTCAAATGCTGACTCTAGTGGAGTACACGCTTCTGTTATACCGCACATTCTTACCTGCCCATGTATGGTACCGATTCCTTTTGAACAACGAATACGGGAGCCTCTTTTCATCTTTGACAACATGCTTATATTTAACTTTAAAGATCACATCAGTTGTTGAGAAGGTATATTTATGATTCTGATTGTATACTACCGGAGACATAAGAAAACTTTCTAATGAGGGCGTTCATGTCTTTTGTACAACCCGTTTGTTATATTATGTCATGTCCTCTCTTGTCTTGTCTATTGATTTTTTACAAAGGTATACACACACATGTAACATCATAATTTCATTATATATAACATTCAAGTTTAACATTGAGTTTACTGTTTTCAAAAATAGGATCATAGTTACAGATTAAAAAGACAGAACCAAGAAACATACACAACATCAAAAAATATATATAAATTAAAAAACAATATTATACATCCAAATTATAAGTATTCAACAAAGAACCATACGAATGAGTAAAAACATATAAATTCGAAAACAGTATCAGACTTACAGATTAAAAGGGATTAAACAGATTTAATGAAGAAGTACATACACTTATTTGACTAATCAGACTGATGGGAAGGTTGAAGTTTTTTTGCTTTTGTTTTGTGCGGAGGAATTATGACAGAATATTTGTGTAAATCGATTATTAAAAAGGTTTGAAATATATATACAAGTCCATATAATGAAAATTAGTAGGTAGTCAATTGAAATCCTATTTAAACTTAAAATATAATATATCATGCTTGAAAATGTATTGGTTCATAATAATATCCGAAATTTTTGAAGTTTGAAATTAATAGTTTCGGAGATTTATACATATAATATATTTGGAAAGCATTTTAGAATGAAAATATAGCCTAAATTTAAGGTTTACATTAATAAGGAACCAATTTTGTAGTTGTAAGTTTGGAAAGCATTCAAGTATCATTTTCATTCAATTCCTGCATTTAATTTCCTAATATAACGGATGAATATTAATATTGGTAACAAAATCTGATTTTGGAAACTTTAAAATCATTAAGGATCCGTGTAAGGCTTCAAAACAAACGGGTTGACTTCTTGTTTGATCAAGATGACATAAGCAATTTGATCTAAGGGTGTAAAACCTATAAAGAAAACACAATCAACGACCCTGATTGTTTTAGATGATGTCATAAAGTTTCTCTTTTAATAATATTTAGAGATATTTGAATAATTCAAAGATCGTGTGAAAAAATTTCTAAAATCTGTTATTCAAGTCTTATTATATGTGTATCACAAAATTTGATTTGGCATAATCCAAGAACAACCTGCTTTGTAACATGTGTCTAATCCAAATTCCGAGACGCATAAATACTTTGCAATTAATTGTGTTTTTCCAAAGAAACGGAGAGAAGAAGAAGCAAATTTCCTGTTAGTCTCTATTATGCAACGTTTTAATCTTCTATATGTAAATAGAAGACGACAATTTTAAGGGTGAAACGACACCACAAGGAATGGGCACAACTTTAGGTTTTTGGTAGGAAAAATTAGTCGGGGCCCATTTCTCTACATACATTGAAGACGACGTTTTTAAGGTTATACCTATTAGACCATGATATGGGCGTTGCCTCTTGACCCCGCCCGGGGCAATGCTCCTTGGAACTCTACCATAGACGTTGTCTTTGGATCCCCGTATTTCTCGAGTCCTTAGTAACTATCAAAGTATGTACTTCACCCCTCTTGCCTTAGAAAATAGCTAAAAGAAACTTAATTTATCTTATATTATTCCGACTACACTAAAACGTACTGATGCCATTAAAATCAATATATATATATATATATATATATATATA